GCTGTGGGGTGTGGAGGAGCTTCGCTCCGTGTTCCCTTCACGTTCTTTCCATGTTCTCTCCATGTTTCCTCCACGTTCTCTCCATGTTCCCTCTGTGTTCTCTCCATGTTCCTCCTCCATGTTCTTTCCATGTTCTCTCCATGTTCCTTCTCCGTATTCTTTGTGTTCCCCTTCATGTTCTCTACGTGTTCTTTCCATGTTCTCTTCATGTTTCCTCCATGTTCCTTTCCATGTTCCCGTGCATGTTCTCTCCATGTTCTTTCCATGTTCTTTCCATCTTCCGTTCATGTTCTCTCCATGTTTCTCTCCATATTCCCTCCATGTTCCCCCTCCATCTTCCCTCTATCTTCGCTCCATGTTCTCTCCATGTTCCCCTCCACGTTCCCTCCACGTTCTCTCCCTGTTCTCTCCATCTTCTCTCCATCTTCTCTCCACGTTCTCTCCCTCTTCCCTCCATGTTCTCTCCATTTTCTCTCCGTGTTCCCCCTCCATATTCTCTCCATGTTCTCTCCACGTTCTCTCCATGTTCTCTCCATGTTCCCTCCATGTTCCCTCCATGTTCTCTCCATGTTCCTCCTCCATGTTCCCTCCACGTTCTCTCCCTGTTCTCTCCATGTTCTCTCCATATTCTCTCCGTGTTCCCCCTCCATGTTCTCTCCATGTTCCCTCCACGTTCTCTCTCTCTTCCCTCCATGTTCTCTCCATATTCTCTCTGTATTCCCCTGCCATGTTATCTCCACGTTCTCTCCATGTTCCCCTCCATCTTCCCTCCACGTTCTCTCCATATTCTCTCCACATTCTCTCCATGTTCCTCCTCCATGTTCTCTCCACATTCTCTCCATGTTCCCTCCACGTTCCCTCCATGTTCTCTCCATCTTCCCCTCCATCTTCTCTCCACATTCTCTCCCTCTTCCCTCCATGTTCTGTCCACATTCTCTCCATGTTCTCTCCATCTTCCCCTCCATGTTCTCTCTATATTTCCTCCACATTCTCTCCATGTTCTCTCCACATTCTCTCCATGTTCCTTCCACGTTCCCTCCATGTTCTTTTCCACGTTCTCTCCCTCTTCCCCACTCCGTATCCCCTCCATGTTCTCTCCCTCTTTTCTCCATGTTCTCTCCATGTTCTCTCCACGTTCCCTCCGTGTTCCCTCCATGTTCTCTCCCCCTTCCCCACTCGGTATCCCCTCCATGTTCTCTCCCTCTTCTCTCCGCGTTCTCTCCATGTTCTCTCCACGTTCCCTCCGTGTTCCCTCCATGTTCTCTCCCCCTTCCCCACTCGGTATCCCCTCACGTTGTCCCATGCGCAGGTGCTGCAGCTCTCAGACCTGCTGCAGCGCGGCATCGGCGTGCACCACGGCGGGGTGCTGCCCCTGCTCAAGGAGATCGTGGAGATGCTCTTCAGCCAAGGGCTGGTCAAGGTGTGTGGGGAGAGCCACGCGTGGGACACGGGGTGCTGCCCCATGGCGGTACCCCCGGCCCCAAAGCTGCCCCAAACCTGCCCAAAATCTGCCCTAAACTTGCCCAAAATCTGCCCCAAACCTGCCCAAAATCTGCCCTAAACTTGCCCCAAAGCTGCCCAAAATCTGCTCCAAATCTGCCCCATGCCCTCCTCATGCCTGCCCTAAACCTGTCCCAAACCTGCCCCATACCTGCCCCATATCTGCCCAAAATCTACCCCATGCCTGCCCCAAATCTACCCCATACCTGCCCAAACCTGCCCCAAATCTGCCCCAAACCTGCCCCTCACCTGCCCCAAATTTACCCCATACCTTCCCCAAACCTGTCCCAAACCTGCCCAAAATCTGCCCCACGTCTGCCCCAAATCTGCCCCAAACCTGTCCCTCACCTGCCCCAAACCTGCCCCAAATCTGTCCCAAACCTGCCCCTCACCTGCCCCTCACCTGCCCCACACCTGCCCCAGGTGCTGTTCGCCACCGAGACCTTCGCCATGGGGGTGAACATGCCGGCACGGACCGTCGTCTTCGACTCCATCCGCAAACATGACGGGAACAGCTTCCGTGACCTCCTGCCAGGTGTGGGGCCACGCTTGTGCACCAACAGGGTGGAAAAGGGGTGAAAAATGTGAAGGAAAAAGGGGACGAAAGCTGAGAGAAAAAACAGGGGAAATGGGGTTAAGAGAAGGTGGAAATACGGGAGGAGAAGTTTAAGGGGAATGAAGGGAATAGAGTTGTGATTGTGGTGGGGAATGTGAGGAGGAAAGGGCGGGAAATGTGAGGGGAAAAATAGTGGGGAATGTGAGGGGAAAAATAGTGGGGAATGTGAGGAGGAAAGGATGGGAAATGTGAGGGGAAAAATAGTGGGAAATGTGAGGAGGAAAGGGCGGGAAATGGGAGGGGAAAAATAGTGGGAAATGTGAGGGGAAAAAGGATGGGAAATGTGAGGGGAAAAATGGCTGGAAATGTGAGGGGGAAAATTGTGGGAAATGTGAGGGGAAAAAGGATGGGAAATGTGAGGGGAAAAAGGAGGGGAAAAATAGTGGGAAACATGAGGGGAAATGGGCGGGAAACGTGAGGGGAAAAATGATGGGAAACGTGAGGGGAAAATGAGAAATGTGAGAAGAAAATGGTGAGAAATGTGAGGGGAAAATGGTGAGAAATGTGAGGGGGGAAAGGGCGGGAAATGTGAGGAGAAAAATGGTGGGAAACACGAGGGGAAAATGGTAAGAAACGTCAGGGGATAAGGGTGAGAAACATGAGGGGAAAGCAGTGAGAAATATGAGGGGAAAAGGGCAAGAAACGTGAGGTGAAAATGGTGAGAAACGTGAGGGGAAATTGGTGAGAAATTCGAGGGGAAAAATAGCGGGAAATGTTTGAAGAAAAAGAGCTAGGAATGCGAAGGGAAAAATGGTGGGAGCTCTGAGGGGAAAAAGGCAAAAATTGTGAGGGTAAAACCAGTAGTGTTTATGAGAAAAAAACAAGAAAAACGCCTTGCTGCTGGACAGGGCCGTGTCTCACCGTGCCTTTGTGTCTCCCCAGGCGAGTACACGCAGATGTCGGGGCGCGCCGGGCGCCGCGGGCTGGACGCCACCGGCACCGTCATCATCCTCTGCAAGGGACCGGTGCCCGAGCTGTCCGACCTGCACCGCATGATGCTGGTGAGCCCTTGGCGTGTCATCGCCATGTCACTGCCGTGTCACTGCTGTGTCCCCACCTGTGTGTGTTCTCACATGGGGAAAATGGCAAGAAACGTGATGGGAAAATGGTGGGAAATGTGAGGGGAAAATGGTGAGAAGCGTGAGGGAAAAATGGCAAGAAAGGTGAGAGGAAAATGGTGAGAAATGTGAAGGGAAAATGGTGAGAAGCGTGAGGGGAAAATGAGAAATGTGAAGGGAAAAATAGCGGGAAATGTGAGGGGAAAAACAGTGGGAAACATGAAGGGAAAAATGGCGGGAAACGTGAGGGGAAAATGGCGAGGAATGTGAGGGGGAAATGGCGAGAAACATGAAGGGAAAATAATGAGAAATGTGGGGGCAAATGGCGAGAAACATGAAGGGAAAATGATGAGAAATGTGAGGGGAAAAATAGCGGGAAATGTGAGGAGAAAAAGAGCAGAAAACATGAAGGGAAAAATGGCAGGAAATGTGAGGGGAAAATGGCGGGAAATGTGAGGGGAAAATGGCAAGAAACGTGAAGGGAAAATGGTGAGAAGCATGAGGGGAAAATGAGAAATGTGAAGGGAAAAATAGCAGGAAATGTGAGGGGAAAAACAGTGGGAAACATGAAGGGAAAAATGGCGGGAAACGTGAGGGGAAAATGGCGGGAAACGTGAGGGGAAAAATAGCGGGGAATGTGAGGAGAAAAAGAACAGGAAACGTGAGGGGAAAATGGTGGGAGCTGTGAGGGGAAAAAGGGCAGAAATTGTAATGGCCACCATGTGGGCAGCGACACGTGTCCCTCGCCATTTTCCCCACGCTGTGTCCCCGCCATGTCCTCACCCGCGTGTCCCCGCGTGTCCCCAGGGCCGGCCGTCGCCGCTGCAGTCGCGGTTCCGCCTGACGTACCCCATGATCCTGCTGCTGCTGCGCGCCCCCGCCCTGCGCCCCCACGACCTGATGCGCCGCAGCTTCGCCGAGTTCCCGCTGCGCCGCGACACCACCGTGAGCGCTGCCGGGGGGCCGGGGGGCACCGGGGGGCACTGGGATG